AGGGAGGAGAAAGGCTGCATTATCAGAAAGGAGGAAGAAGTTCCCTCTGTTGCTCAATATTTAAACAAGCTGAATATTTACACAAGCATTGGGTGAGAAGCGAGTTTGCACTCACCTCTTGTAAGGCAACCAGAACTAACAAAACCAGGCACACGACAACTGCAAATACTGAGCAAACAAAAGTCACGGGGGTTTTTTGTTTCAAGGCAGAAGAGTGATTTCAAAGATGCGTACTAACACCATCATTTTTTTTCCTGTGGTTTTATACCTCAGCGGTTACATTTCTCAGGTTTCATTATTCCAGCTATGAACTTCAAAAACCTGCACAAAAATGAATCAAAAGCCAAAAGCCTCAGCATTAAAAACCACGGCAATCACATGGTACCATGAGTTGCACTTTTATGTGAATAATTTGCCAGGGAACAATAAAGCAGTTCTAAGAATCAGTTGGTTTTGACTGCAGAGAAAACAACCATCCTGAAAAACAGTAGCTGAACACTTCATGATCCAGTAGAAGGGACAGACGCTGGCCCAGTGGTTCATTTAGTTAAAACTCAGTCTATCCTACTTGTGCATGACATCGAGTGTCAGACTGAGATACTTAAAATACATCGCAGGGAGATGAGACCACGCAGTCTCAACAGTACTGCCAATTTTGAAATCTTTTAGGGTGTCTAATATTTCAAATTACACAAATATACCAAACCAAATATACTAGGACTTGATCTTCTCCTTCGTATCCCTAGAGGTACAATAGCAGATCAAGGTGCTGTTGCACTGTGCACAGAGGACTGAGCATCCTTCCCTTGGGTGACTCCGAAATGAATTTCTGTGTTTCCTGCATTAGCACAAACAGCTTCAGCTTGCTGACCGACTAGAAATCTACACAAAACCAGACTTTTCCAACTGCTTGTTTCTCCAACTTGCCATTATTCTGAAAGGAGAAGCACAGCTTACACCTTCACTAGCCCAGCAGTGGACGATAACTTCACTGGAGAAAGGAAACAGGCCACCTCAGTCCCACTCCCCACCGTGCTAAATAATGAGACCACGGGAAACTACTTTTAAAATTCAGCTCCCTCATTTTTGCCCTCTCTTGAGAATTCGAGCACAGAGGGGTTGCACTCTCAGAGCCCAGCGATCTCTGGGGCACACAAACACGGTGCAGCGAGATCTCTGCTCAGCACCGCGCGAGCAGTCAGTAGCACAAGTATCAGCACCAGCGCAGTCAGCCCAGGGTGGTTTCTGACAGGGTTAGCAACTGACCCGAGAAGATTTTGGTCCTAGGTTAGCTTCAAAACCATATATTTAGTGCTGCTTTTGGTTAAAGTTAAAAAAAAAAAAAAAAGCAGGGCTGTAGTTCTAACTCCGTGTGGTCACTCTGGAGTGACCAAATTGACTCAAGCATTGCTAAGACCTGGGTTTGGATTGGTCCCATGCAGAAGAACTTTTCACAAAACAACTTGAACATTCAGGTCGCAGATTCAGCAGAATGAGTAAGTCTGTTCAGCTGTTTTCCTCATAAAATCAGAGCAGAGTTGGCACCTGGTGGCTTTTACTACGGGCAGCTGTAGCTGCAGAGACCAGTCACGGTTACTGAGCAGCAACTGCAGCGATTTTCCCAAGGTGGTCAGTTGATTTTTTTAAATTTCCAAGGCAGCAGCCCTGTACAGCACTGCTTATTTAAGCCTGCCAGTCAGCACCTCACCTAAAGTGTAAACACGGAGGGGAAACCAGGTAGATGAAATACTTCTGATGTGCTTACACTGAAGTTTCTTTCTCATCTTTGCAGTCAAAGAGTTCTAGTGATTTCTACAGCAGGTAAGAGCTGACCCGTGCACCCACGGCAGGTCTACGCTCTCCACACGCGCTGGGTTTCCATCCTGTGCTTGCAGCTGTCTGGGAAAGACCAGCCCAGCCCTCCTGCCTCTGCTGATCCCACAGCCTGGCAGCATTGTTGAACCCGTCTGTGCTTTGCCTCCGCGGTAGGGCGTAGGCACAGCAGTCTTATTTTACTGTTTGCAGAGGGATACGAACACCATCGTACTCAGGGTGGGTATGTCAGCCCCTGCCCAGGGAACAGTCTCCTAGCAGCACTGCACCAGCAAGTTTAGCCACTGACACAGAAGCAGAGTTCTAGCTCACAGGAGGCAGAATCATTCCTGACATTTATCAGAGGAGGTAAGTTTAGGAACTCTCATTCGGATTTCAGTGGCATACTGCTTGACAATATGAATGTTTAAAGTATATAATTCTTTTGCCTAGAAAATAAATCAAACCTTTCCTAAGAAAGATGGACGTGACAAACATCCATCCTTCCTGATGGGGAGGGAAGAAGCAAGTACAATTTTAGTTTCGGAGCCGTCAGTCTGGGCAAGTGCTAGAGCAAGTTAGAGATAATTCTGTGGGAGCAAGGAGAAATCAAAAGGAAGACACCAAGAAGTGGATACAATTTGAGCAGGAATAGGGATGAATCGCTTTTCTGTGTTTGTGAGGTTAACTACCCTCCTGGCTTATTAGCAGCACATTTCAGGGCTTGGACTGGGACAGCAACAGCTGAGCTGCAAACCCTGTTATGTGAGCAGCACTTCCAAAAGGAAGGCTACCTGGCACGATGCAGGCTAGAAGGTAACTCTGGCTGCCAAAAAACTCACTCCAGTCACGCTTGTTACAGTGGTGGCAATAAAAGCCATCAACCTACTCGCACTGAACTGCCAATTTTTCTTCTTTTTATATCCACAGCCTCCAAGGAAAAGCAGAAACTTCTTGGTATGCTGCTAAGCAAGTGAAGAAAATATTTATTCCCCGAGACAATAACAAGGCACTACAGGATCAAAATGCAACCTTGGAGTTTTTCCTGCTCTTCATCGCGTGTCAAGGTTGCTATGAAACAACAGTTGCACGCAGCTGAAAAAGCGTCGCAAACACAGGCAGGGCTGAGGCACCAGCGCATCCCCGCTGCTCCTGGCCCATCACAGAGGGGAGGCAGCTGGCCATTTCGGCCCTTTGGGGAGGGCCCGTCCTTGCTGGGGTGGCACAGAAGTCTGCCTTTGCATCGACATCTGGACCTTAGTCAGATAAGAGGTTCAAAGTGCAGCTCTCCTGGCCAACGCTCCAACTCGCACGTGAGCTCACCCGAAACCACCTGAGGAGCCTCGAGCAATGACCCTGGGATGGGCTCGGCAGTGGGAGCTCCTGGCACGAGACTGTGCCAGAGGGTTCCCACGCTGCCACCTCGCTCTGCTGCAACCTGATACACCCTGATCCCAATCAGGAGCAGGAGGTTGGGCTCTCATTGTCAACCTGTCCTCTTTCCGTAAAAGTTACAGGTGTAAAAATACATGCCACACCACAGAGGGGATTCTGCCCCTTCACTCTGCTCTTGTGAGACCCTCACCTCGAATCCTGTGGCCAGTTCTGGTGTCCCCACCTTAAGAGGGACGTGGATCTGTTGGAACGAGTTCAGAGGAGGCCACGAAGACGATCCAGGGGCTGGAGCAGCTCTGCTATGAGGACAGGCTGAGAGAGCTGGGATTGTTCAGCCTGG